GAGTCTCAAATGGCGAGTCCGAGTCGAGTTGGAAGTCTTTTGAATGCAAGTCTAAGTCGAGTCTGAAGTCACTGTTTATGCGACTTAAGTGCGACTCGAGTACGAGTCCCAAACTCGAGTCCCCATCTCTGCCTGCAGGAGCTGTCAGTCTATTATTATTGGTTGTGTAATAATGTTTTCTTGTGTATGTCCACTGGACATTCAATAATGTAATATAGAAATTAACAGAACAGAATCATTAGATGTAAATTCATATCTGAATAACTTTTAGAGTTAATGTCATTAAAGATGGCAGACAGTCTGACTGGCTTAAAAAGCATAACCGTTTTTTTAAACTTTGTGTTTTTGTGTAAAATGATTGTATTGTTTTATATTTAATAGACAACTCGACCTGTGAAATCTGTTACTTTGTAACATTTTTTTGTCTTGTTTTGTATTTTGTAGCTGAGGCTGTGCCCGGATTGTTTGGCGCTGCTCTGAGGGTTTGTGTGTTATTTCCTCCTGCTTCGTTACTTTGATGAATTTCAACAAAGCGTGCTGACGTCAGGTAGTTAGCTGCAGCCTCATCTTACAGTTTTTAATTCTGTCGATTTGAAGAGACACTTCATTGAAAATAGGATTAAAGTCTTGTCACTGTACTGAAACTGACTTGTTACAGCTAGTCTTCTGAGTTTTTGTTTTTCCAGTGTAAGCTGACATGAAGAACATRATTTAAATCCCTTTGTTCCAAACACAACAATGGTTTGATTCATGGAAGGATGTTTTTTTAATAGCGCTTGTTAGCAAAGTGTGTCGACGCTCGTCTTCATCACCTGACATATTTCACACTCTGTCATTGGTTGAGGAGCTTTGTTTATTAAACAAACAAAGCTTTATTTTAATTTCCTGGCTTTCTATGACACATTAAGTTGATTTGATGCTGCAGTTTGCCTTGTAATATTTTATACCATCTCTGCTACATTTGCATTGGATTTTTTAAAGTTTTATTAGTTTTTAGGAGACAAGATGCTTCCTACAAAAACAAGAATGTGAGTCTTGTGCTAAAATTTCATGGTGATATCTTGAACTCTAAGGCAGCTAGGAGAAAATAGAAAACAACAAGGTGAACTGATCACAAAGCTCCATTAGTTCAGCTGTGAAAGAAAACATGAGCTGATTTCACCTAAACAAACATCAATAAGTCCCTCCATCTCTGAGAGAATCACAGGATTCTGCTGTTATTTTGTAGGTTTTAAGGTTCTTTTAGAATCTGCTGTCAGATTTGATATCAGTGTAGRATAAAAACGTTATCCACATCCCTATTATTTGGAGTCAACTGTCTGTTAGCAAAATATCTCATGTCTATCATTTGGTCATATATTTCAGTCAGTTGCCATGTGTAAACCTGAGGCTCACCTGGAGCTGTGCAGGATTACAGGGACGGACGGAGGACGAGGGGAGCAGAACCCCGGCGGATCTGCCGGACCGAGCCAGCAGCCGCACGAGACAGCAGGAAGACCTCATGGTCCAGACTGGCTCTGACAGCTGAGCACGATAAACTGAGGACACAATAACAATAATTACAACCAGCATTAATGATCGCTGAAAGACAAGAGCAGGAGTGAAACACGTCACCGGAACACAACATTATAATATTATTATTATTATTATTATGACCATAAATACTGATTACAAGACAAACATTAACAAAAACAGCATCAACAAGGTGAAAAAAAACTCACTGAATTCAGTCTCCTTCAACACTGGATGTCATGTTGGGAGCCGGTGGAACTTCCTGTTTCTACACACAAATTCTTCCCCCAAAACAAACTTAGCTCATACTGCGTTCCGACGCAATTTACGTTCCTTCAGCTTTGTAACGACAGATAATATAATATAATAT